ACGACTGTTTTTGCATATTGGCCTAAGACCTATGTTGCCAGACCCACACGACACTATAAGTGTCAGCGATAAGGACACCCTGACAAGAAGTGCCGAGCTGGGAAGGTATGCGCCCAGTGCGGGAAACCGTGCACACCAGTGTCCAGCAAGCAAGAAAAAATGCTCAGTTGTGGCGGCCCTCATTCCTCCTTCGACTGGGAGTGTCCCAGGTGGAGATAGGGGTGTTGGGTAGCCAAGTTACGTTCCAAGAAAAAACTTAGCTACAAGGAGGCTCTCCTTGTAGTGAAAAAACAAGAAATGAAGAATGAAGAAGGAATAAACATGAGAACAAACGCACGAAAGAAGGAAAAGAAACAAGAGGACCAGAACGAATGTGCACCGTCTAAAAACAAAAGGACCAAAAGGAAAAGAACATCTAAATAACAAGTCTACAGCCATAACCTCAGAAAAATAAACTAAGTAAAAGAAGGGATCTCAGAAATGTATACAGATTTACTCGCTTCCACATCCTCCTTCCCTCTCCTCAACGTGTCAACCTGTGGTGAACCTCTCATCACGGCCAACTTACTTATTCTCTTTGGTCTTGGGACGTGTCAGCCTTAGTTACAGGCTTAGTACAGCAAGTGTGTATCCATCTTGTGAAATTCTCCAGTGACAATTCATACTAGGACACAACACTCTTCCTGGCCAGTGATCATAGTGTTACGTGCGTTACTTCCCTTACAAACCATCACAGTGTTCTTAAAAAGTTTCCTACTCATACAGAAATATCTTTATCTGTTTGTGCAACTTCTCACTGGTACAGGGTATGTTTGTTCATTTGTTTGTTGCAAATATTAATATTAAGTACAGTTTTTAAGCAAATTACTATATGTTTGACTACCCTCTCTCCTAAGTGATTTAATCCAAGACTAGTAATATTTATATTATTTCATAAATTCAACTTTATTTGTTCATGTGCGTAATTTGTGGTTAACGTTCACGTTTAACTTTAGTTTTTTAAATAAGTTTAGAGTTTTTAATTCCCTTTTCATGTATTCCAGTAATTAACTATAAATCTTAACCCGTTACACACATGTAAAACTCACCACAGGACCTAGTTGACAGTACCTGAGGGTTCCTGTGAGGTCCTCCCTGCTGGCATGCTGGAGAGTGACATTTTCCGGATCTGATTAGGTTTTTCCCTCCCATTCCACTACTGTGGAGGAGAGAAACTCAACTGAGTTATAAGGAAAAATATTCCGAAAATGGGTTGGAAAAGGAAGCAAATGGAAGGGGGGGGGAGGAGGAGGCGGTGTAGATTGATAGAAGAATGGGGTTTTGGCAGGTAAGAAACAAATAGAGAGATAGAGTTTCTGAGAATGAGCTGGCGGAAGAATGGAAAGAGGGAGGACTGAGTGAGGAAGGAAAGGAAAGGAAAGGAAAGGAAAGACACATAGAGTCGCTTATATTATATTAAGGTTATAAAAATGTGTGTGTGTGTGTGTGTGTGTGGGTGTGTGCGTGTGTGTGTGTGTGTGGGTGGGTGTGTGTGTGTGTGTGTGTGTGTGTGTGTGTGTGTGGTGTGTGCGTGTGTGTGTGTGTGTGGGTGTGTGCGTGTGTGCGTGTGTGCGTGTGCGTGTGCGCGCGTGTGTGTGTGTGTGTGTGTGTGTGTGTGTGTTGATGAAGGACTGTATATGTGTGTTTATGTACCAGTGTTTACCCAAGCTCAATAAATGTTGCATACGTATACAGGAAATAAAACAATATGATATAGAAACAAATCAACCCCTCTGCGTCATAACATTAATCCAAAATACACATAATTTTTATTCAAACATGAACACACAACAACAGCAACAAATTTTACTTCGCAATATCGCAAATACTCCTGGCTGCGTTTCTCTCTGTTTTCACTTGTGTATAAAAATTAACACATATGTTGTCGAAACACTTTTATCTGTGACAATGGCATTTCATCCAAACCTACGTCCCATTTTTGGGTGCTTTATATAACCGTTAAAACCTAAAAATCCTAACCTGATTGAAGTAGCCTTTTCACGTATCGGTCTCAGAAAAGGCTCTGGCCCCAGGATTGGTTGGCGGAAGTATGTGAAGGTTCTTTATATTGTTCGGCGTCATAGGTAATAATAGATGACTTAAGGGTATTCAGTGAGCAATTATTGGTTACCCTTGTCAGGATATAATGTGTTATCAATTATTATTTTTTCCAAGGGGATTTTCTTTCTTCATATTTATCATTTGTGTGACATAATGGGATGGAAAAATGAGGGGAGTAAAGGAGATTTCCGAAGTCTCTGTCTCTTTCACACTGTTTTCACCCGTAGATCTAAATACTGGATATGGTTCCTTCTACCAAGCATCACTCGTCCTCACAGACTGAAATTGCTTCCGTCCTCTCAAATAAAATAATCCTCTCTTACTCCCTTAAGCACTGTTCTCTTGTCTAGGAAATCAGTCAATGTTCAATCCATTCCAAAAAGACGATGATCCGTTCTCTCCCTCTAATTACATTCCTATTGTTTTTACTTCGAGCCAGAGAGGTGTTTGTCTCTCAATATTAATTCTTGATGACGAGAGTCTGTATTAACATTTAACACGGACTAAATGCTTAAGGAAATTATTTGTTACAGAGCAGTAATACCTTATAACAACAACATCACCTCCATCATCTCACAAAGTTAGAGAATCAATCGTAAATATCACCTTCTCTTCGGCACCCCAGTTTGGCTTGTGTTTCGGCTTTCCATTATCGATTTTCTGGCTCGCGTGTCAATTTCAATTTCAATTTCAATTGTTTATTCCTTGATAGAGGAAGCGGGATCCTAGTGCTGTCACTAGGTACCCCTGTACAATGACACCAGAAGCATCTGGCAAGTGTGACAAGTACATACAGTATAAATATTATAAAGGGGCTTACTAAAGCCTAAGGAAGGAAGGATATTCCTTTAACACATAATCAATGTTATTTACAAAATATCTGGCCAGTATGGAGAGGATCATCGTGTCTCCGTCAGGGGGTCGCTCGCGTGTCTTAAAACTTTTGCCTTGTACTTGACAACTTCATAATACTGTATCTCTAAAACTGTCGGCAAAGTTTGACATCAGGCTTTCCTCGTCAAACTTCCTTCTATTGGTCTCCGCGATGCTTTAAATTTCTTTATTTCCTTCTTCTATTCAGCAATCACACCCATACAGATGTGGACGTTTTACATCCTGGCTACTTGTTTATCAATGCTGGAGTACTTCAAGGCTAAGTTCTTCCTCCTATATTTTTCTTACGCCACAATTACAGGTACTTCCATCAACACACATAAACTCCTTTGATGACGATAAACACTTCACGGAAGTCTACTTTTTATCTGGTTATTTTTCTATTATTATTTTTCTGTTTCCTCTTTTATTACCTTTTACTCATATATATTAAATTTCTTATTCCATATTTTCATCTATTAATTTCTTTATCTCTGCTTCTTATTTCTCGATCAGTTTTTTCTCTTTCTCTTCTGCTATTATCCCCCCCCCCCCGTCTCTCTCTCTCTCTCTCCCCGTCCTTCTATCCTTTCGTCCCTCCGTCCCTCATCCTCTCTCTCCCTCTGCAACTCGATGTTTACAGGTCAGGTCACGCTTATGATTGCAGCAGCCTCCACGACCAGCATCTCATAATGTACCTCTTACCTCATCCTTCTTGTTGAGTAGTGCAGTCAACATTAGCCTGGTTGCTTCATCATTGTGCTGGCGGAGGGGAGTGTTAGCGTGTTGTGTATGTATTTAGAATGTGTACGTGTGTGTGTTCTTTGTTTGTTTGGAGAAGAGGATAGAGATGGTTTTCGTGTATTCTATATACAGTATATGTATGTGGAGTGTTTGAGTGAATGTGTGTGGAGTAGAAGTGTTAGTAAATTATGTGTATATGGATTGTTTAAGTATATGTGGATTTTTGTTGGTTTATGTTATAACAAGTAGCACTAGTTAACGGTTTATTAAAAGGAAATTACTTGTGAATCCTGAAATTACACAAAGAACACATATGGCATAGATTACCAATGGTGATATAGAGGAGTGGGTCAATTAATAAAAGTCTTCATAACAAAAAGAGGAAAAAATCTGGTGAACATAGGAGTCAACATGCCGTCCTTCAGGTAGCCGCAATTCACAGCGCCAGAAGGAGACGTCTTTTCTATATGGTAGCAGACAGTCAATTGTGTGCGCATGTGTGTGTATGTGGGCCTTACTCCTGATGGGCCGCAATCTTAATGATTAGATTATATTAGGTTGGTGCTTAATGTGACAAGGATCCGATAAGTGTTTGGAATTCAACTGAACAAAAACAAAAACTCCCCCTTCCATCCGTCCCACGACGCCCTGACAATTTAATACATAAATTAGTCACTGTTCCATCTAAAGTGTGATGGAAATGTATTTTTCGAACATTGAAAACATAAGAACATATGAATGGAAGAAACTGCAGTGGGGCTATTGGCCCATACTAGGTAGCCCCGTTTACACCCCAACCCTTATCTCTCATATATCAGTCTAACCTAAATTTGAAGCTACCCAGCGCGCTCTAGTTAATGATGAAATTCGGTAACTTGTTCCACTCATCCGTTACTCCATTTCCAAACCAATGTTTACCTATTTCGCAAATGAATCAAAATTTGTCTAATTTTAAATCATTGCTATGAGTTCGCTTCCGGTTGGATAGTTTGAATACCTTTCTTATATCAACTTTGTTTAATCCTGACTTCCATTTATACACCTCGATTATATCGCCCCTCACTCTACGACAGTCAGTGGTTCCCAACCTTTTTGTACTCGCGACCCCTTTCTCAAAACCCTGAAACACTCGCGACCCCCTGCCAGCAGCCATTTCAGTTTTACAACTTTTTCTGAAAAGGAAAGGGGAAAAAAGAGAAAACAATCATTAATTCATCAATTATTAATTTTTTTTATTTATTAATATAAACATCAACATAAATTACATCATCTCTCCAACCTAGTTAGTGGGATGGTTGGGGTTGCATCTGAGCAGCGAGTCTTTGAATTCGTGGCGGGGTGTTTGTAAGAACCAATCTCATTTCATCCTTGACATCCAATCTGTTCCTGGTCTTCGATTTGATGTGGACGAGGGTTGAAAATCCGGCCTCGTAGAGGTAGGTGGAGGCAAATGGAAGAAGAACACGTAAGGCCAGCATGTTGACTTTGGAATATGATTGATGCATAGCGCACCAGAATTGAGTTACCGATTTCTCCTGGAACAGGTCACGCGCCGGAGAGTCGTTCCGTTGATCCAAGAATTCTTCTTGGACTTCGTCGGGGAGGCTGGATACGTCAAGTGTAGCAGAGAAGGGGTTTCTTACCCACCGGTATGCTCTCGCTAGTAAGACCCTTCCTGCCTCTCTACGGGAAGTGCTCAATTCTGTGACCAACACTCGTCTATTCAAAGAACTCTGCAAGGACATGAGTGCTGACCATGAGGTTCTTCTCTTCTACACGGCTGTACGTTGGTTGTCGAGAGGGAGCGTTATGAATCGTGCCTTCGAGATGAAAGACGAAATCAGGTTCTTTCTGGAAGTGCAAGAAAAGAGAGATCTTCTGGCACACTTCGATGATGAAACGTGGAATAAAAGGGTTGCGTTCCTGGCGGACATTTTTGACCAGCTGAACAAGCTGAATTTGTAATTTCAGGGAAGGGAAACACACGTTCTCCTATTTTAAGACAATCTACGGGCCTTCATATCCAAACTGCAGAACTGGCGTCGGAAAGTCAATTTGGGGAATATCGCCATGTTTGAAAAACTCTGCGGAGTGATGGATGAGTGTGAGGGCGAACTAAATCAGTTCCTGAAGGATGAGATTGCCGGACACCTTGAGTCCCTAGAAAAGGAATTCCAGCGATACTTCCCTGAGCTCACAGGAGAAGAGGAGGTATGCTCTTTCACATCCATAGACATATGAGAAATACGCCTCTGAAGAGTATTATTCGACAGAGATACTTGCTGCATCTTCTTTGCGCTGGCTTCCCCGAGAAAGAGCTTCACCATCTTCAACATGCAGGGTTTGATAAGTGTTTCTCCAATCGTGTGAGGTTTTTTTTTTTTTTTTTGGCAATTTCCAATGCAACTTCATAAGAGGACCACTGCTGCTGCACTCTGTTGCTGAAAAGACCCACTATCATCGAGCTTTTGACGTTTGAGACGAAGCTCATGGTGTTTGAAGAACTCCAAATCCTTCTCTGCGCGTTCCGGATACTTCGTCTCAAGGTCACGCTTGAGTTTCGAAGGTTTCATCGACTAAGCAACAGGACAACATCGCACAAGACGCATTGTGGTTTCTCGACGCCGTTGTTGGCGAGCACTGTGGTGAAGCCAATGTTGAGGTAGTCTTCCGAGTATTTGCGCCTTTTAGCCATGGATTCAGATCTGTAAATACAAAATATCAAATTTTGAATTATAAAATATACAAGAAACATCAGCAATAAACAGTGTTGTAAAAAGTATCCAATATTGTTACTCAACTTACTAAGTTACATACACACACACACACACACGTAAATCCGTAAAATATTACAATTAAGCACAACTGTGCATGATCAATTAATTTTTAACTCACCCAGTTACTCCAGCTGAGAAAAAATATCAGTAGCAACGGTAGAGGAAGTGCGTGACTAGTGACAGGCTGGTACGATACTGACTGACTCGAGACTTTTTCTTTTTTTTCTTTTTTTTAAA